CTATACATTCAGTCAACATATTTCTCTCGACGGCTAAACCATTTCTATGGAATGCTGTGAAAATATCTAAAATCAATCGATAACATCTTGCCAAATACTACTAGGTTAAACATATGGTGCCATGTATCACTCTTTCACAAGAATTGGTAAAATCACATAACTATTATTTTCATTCAGTCGGATTTTCTATTTTACAAAAAATAAACATTATTAACAATTCCACTATTATTCAGGTAGACAGCACAAGAGAAATGATCCTTTCAAAAAAAATTGCCAGAAAATCAAAAGATACACAATGTAAAACAGAACTTGCCAATTAATTACACCTAATTCAACAACAATAATTTAAATTTTAAAAAAATTTACTGAATTCTTAGGTTTATATTAATTAAACTAATATTCACTACAGAGAAAAAATGAAAGAAAATAAGAATTGGAGAAGATTAAACTATTGAATGCACCTAAATTAAGGTGAGTTACAAAATAAATGAAATGTACTGTATTATGATTCGCTGTTGTTTAAATACTACTTTCTTCATGATAATATTTCACTGTTCTACTGGTTAAAATCGGTATAGATCATTGTGCGCATACAGAGTTGGAAACAAAAATGTGAACATTAATTGAGGTTACTGAAATTTCCGTTATGTAAATATATATGTTCACATCGGGCACTACTTAAAATTCTTTGAATGCAAAATATCAATGTAAAATGATGTTAATACGTCAATATTTGAAAATGTTGACATAATCAGTCTGAAATTGTTAAATCGACAGGCAAATAGACAGACAGAATGACAGACATTCTAGATTGCACAACGGACAAAAAAGTATGGTTAAAGATCATTTGAAAGTGGAATGAGTTGTTCGAATGGGTTGAAATTAAAATATTTAAGGTGGATATAGAGAAGTTAAGAAAACAGACGTAAGTGATTGAGTCATTGATTCGACTAATACATGACTTGTCAATGCCGTCAGAGTTAACAATCTGCTTCTTTAGTTTATCTCACTACAGCTTCTTTAGTTTAGAGGAAAAAGAGCTTGTTTATTTTATACAGATGACCTAAGGTTAATCTATTTAGAGTTTAAACTGCCACTCTACCCATCCATAGAGTTAAGTACGGAAAAGAGAATGAAAATATAAAATCGTAGAACATCAGCAAATAGATGCAAATGAATTGATGAAAACAATGCCAAACAATGAAGAAAAGCATTTTAAAAAGATTTCGTTTGTTTAGTTCCATATCAATCATTTTAAAATATTTTGCATTAGATTCCCAACTATGTTGTGTTCGTCAGTGAATTTTACACGTTTATTGTTAAATAAACAAATAACCAACAAATAATCATTAGATGCATAGCAAGCACAATGAGTCCTCGTTCCCTAAATTGTATTTTATTTATAATTACTAGCAACTGGCGCCATTTTAATCATCAACGGTATTTGTTTATCATTCTAGTCTACGATTATCTGTCTTTCTGTCTTATCTTAAACAAGGTTTTATACAGTCACATTAGTTTATTTTGTTTTCTTAAAAAAACATCTTATCTAAAGTCAGACATTGGCATAGTTTTGTCTGATTCTTATGTGACAATCAGTAATTTAACTAACCTATGAATCAAATTACTGAACTAAATCACGAATGTGTAAGTAAATACAAGCAGAAATATCAATCAAAAGGGGTAGTAACAAAACAACAAAACAAAACAAACACCGAACAAATATGAAATGTGAGTTGACAAATATTTTGTTTCATGATGTAAATAGGGTCACCAAATCGCCATGGTAATAAACAATACAACATGCCATCGATACGTCAAAATCAATTACGCCAATTGAAGTGTTGACGAGAGAACAAGTCATGTTTTGTTTCGTTTTTAAATTAACTTAGTGACAGCAATTTTGGTAAATCAAAATGTGATTTATTTTTTCCCCATGTTTGTGAATAAATTCCAACTACTTTTTTGAAGATACAGGTGATTGAATATGCTGACCTGACCCGAACACACAAACAAAATGCACATGATTGTTTGACTTGAAGACGGGATTATGTAATTTGAATAAAGTTACCATCCTTTTTACATTATAAATGCTTTTGTTCGAAATTAATCAATAACAATAAATAGCCAAAGAAAACTTGTGGTGGTATGATGACCAATTTTAAACTAATATTATTCTCAGTGTAATTATTTAATATTACTATTCTGACCTTAAATGTTTTCTGTAACTATTTAGAATAGGGTGTGTTGTAGATTTTTCACGAGATTTTTTATTTATACAAGTAAACAATAAAGGAAGGACAAAGAATTATATTTTTGTCAATACTTATTTCCCTACCCCCTTAGCTCATCTATTTTTACTGTTGAAATTACAGTTGGTTTTGTTTTTTACGAATACAAACGATTATTAATTCACATATGTCACCAAATGATTCATGTACCGGTAGTGAGATAGTAATTGGTCGATAAGATTGAATAAAAATAAGGTTTTTATCAGGAAAGTAGGTAAATTTAAACATATTGCTAGTTAAATATCGATTGGAAGACTTGAAAATATTGAAGTCGAAGACGAGTGAACTTCAACCCAATTATATGCACTGTTGTGAAGCGAGTGAAGGAGAAGTCCTAAACTGGAACGAAGCAAATCTCTCGTAAGCTCTGGTGTTGGCTGAGTCACTAGCTCTTATTAGTTCATACGAAAACTTTAACTCTGAATATTTCCTATAAACGCAAAAACAGTCAGTCAAGTCTATAGTCTTGAAGGCAAATATAATGTACAGAAACATAGTGCTTGTCTGAAGGTTGTTATAACCACTGAAACTCAAGTAGTTAGTGCAAGGTTCGAATAAAAAACCTCTTAATTCTTAGTTGTATGTTTTAGTCAGTAAAATTCTATTCTTCATACAGTTACGACATTGCATGTTTCTACTATCACATGTACCAACATACGGAGTATAATAATATAATTCACTTTTCGAACATTCAGTTAAATTACCCGTGTGATATTCTTTTCAAAAAACACTTGTCAACTTGTGTCACAATTGGCTTAGGATAGGTGGTATGTCAACTAAGAGGTGGAAAAACTGTGCAGCAGTTCGTTATGTTTTGCTAAGAAGTATGGGTTTTAAAAAGAGTCGAACATTGGTAAGCTAATGAATGATATGTAATCAAAGATCCCTTCAGACAGACAGGCAGACAGATGCAACGTAGAACTTCGTATGTACGTACATCAGTTCAAGTTGCCATAGCACATTCGCACAGAGATGCAACTGTCGTTTCAAATGCCATAGTAGTAGAGGTAGTAAAGGTATTAGAAGTAGTCGGAGAGGTTAAGATTAGAAGATATTATTCAAGAAGTATGATTCAGTGAGAAAAGTTTAGAAAGTCAAAACTGGAGGGGTTGAAGAATCCAGAAGAATCGGATTTGAGAGAACACAAAGAATAAATGCATAGGCGCCACTGCAAACGGTTTTGAGCCATGTCATTCAAGGTCTCTAACCATCGATTATTATCATCTCGCGGACCCCAACCAGGTAGGCAACAACTACCGACATGGCTAAGTCCACTCGTCAATGACTTCATGCATCTCTGCCATGCTTTTTTTCTGGCCGCCCCTAGCTTTCTTCCAACCTATTCCTACATCACAAAACATAGCTTGTCGAGGCAGTCGGTGGTTGAGCATTCGTAACACATGTCCCAACCACCTCAGCTGATGAAGTTTCAATAATTCATCTATTGATCTACCATCCTTACCTAGTACTAGCTTCCTAATGGTAGCATACCTTACTCGGGTGTCCCAGGATACACGAGCAATGCTTCTATGACACCTACGAATATCTTCTACTGTTACCGGCCATGTTTCGCAACTATATAGGAGGACGGAGCGAACCACTGCACAGTACACTTGACCTTTGGCTAGCAAACGGATATTTCGCCTACGCCATAAATGATATAATAGTAAACTGTAACAAACAATCTGTTGGAATTAAAAAGATCGACCTATGGTTATAAGTATCATTGAAATATGATAGCTAACGAACCTTGTGGCTGAGTTGATCGAATTTCTTTTGAGTGACAATTAAACCTATCTATGTTTATTCAACCCCATGAAAATGAAAGTAGTCGTAAATAAATATGTACTTCTTTCTTAACAGGTGAAAAGTAAGCAAATAGACTGAATAGACTGAATAAAAGTCAAATAATGTATTCGTGTACATAGCCCGATCATATAGTTAATTTTGATTTAGTTTGATGAAACCTAGAGTAAACAGTCTAGACTCTTAATTGCTATTATTGTTATCATTATTAAAAACTTGCAATTACACTATTCATCATATAATTTGATTTGAAAAAAGATAAGTTGAATTGTTCAATTTTCATTATAAATATTTATTAAAGTATTCAATATCTATGCAATTTATGCATGATTTATTCGAGTAGTAGTAATTTAGTACTTCAGAGTAATTCTATGCTTTTGACAGAATATGTCAAAAATAAAATTAAAAGACAGTATAAGGTGAATGATAACGATAAGTTAAGGTAATAAAGTTTTCATAATTTATATTTGTTTTAAAACAATGAATGATACTCTTTTTATATTTTAACAAATAAATGATCGCTTTGTATATACAAATTATCGTAAACTTAACGACATAAATTAAGCAAATTCACAAAAACACAATTCTGTCTCAATAATAATAATAGTGTGATTATCTGTCATCATTTAGTATGCAAATACGTAAAATATAAGGGCTATTTAATGCTTTGCATAAAAGTAGCTCCTAACCTTGGTGAATATGAACAATCATTAAATCTTATGGTAAGAAGAGAATTTTGTATTTATTGAACAGTAAAGCATCACTTTAATGTACATATGAAGTAAAAAAAAATACTGTACGAACTAAGGAAAGAAAACAATGATCGACATTCTAAACATCTTTAGACAATAAGGTAATTAGACTAATAAATGGTATTAGAATTAAAGTACACAATTAACTCACTTTTGTATTCTGACCAGGTTTACGGGGAACAGCAAGTTTCGGATCAATCTGAAATTTAAGATAATAATTTTGAACAGTTGATTGCATAAACAGTAGTCAGTAACAACTGATTGTCTACATAGTCATGTAGTGTAAGTATTTTAATCCTACATAAATTTAAACGCTGATTGAATATCTCGGTAATAATGTTTGACTGTTAAACTGAACGGAGCCATCTTGAATGACACAAGAAGTACCAGATAATTCTGGATGAAAGACACTTTTCTCACGTAACCCAGCCAGTCCCAATCCATAGTTTAGATTACTTTCAACCAATAAAATATTCTTGATCTATTAGGATAGTATTTTCTCAACGAGTTCTGCTTATTCGTTGCTTGATAACCATATTTTGTAACATTATGGCATCCGATCACGAATATGTCGCATTAAAATTTAGTATTTTTCATGGTAGTTGTAATCAAAACATTTAAAAGGTATAATTTATGGGAAAGTAAAATTTATCACAAAATTTGTCACAAAATCATAACCTATTTGCCAAGTCTTTGATGTCTGGATCATAACAATAAAAAGATAACAAAGCTTATAATCAATCTACTGTAATTATTTATCTATTCAGATAGTTGATCAATGTATGGACACCATAATATCATAACTCATAATATGACAGGAAAGCAAAGTGATTTTACAGACTTTATTTGTCCATGAAGCGTGTACTTGATTTACTTAGAATTATAAACAAATTAAAATAAATATTTAGACATTTTTTTCGCATTAACAAATAGAAGAAATTAAGCATAAACATAAGTTGAAATGCATTCAAATAGTTTAGTATTAATTAAAAAGGTCAATTATTTGTGCATAAATTTACATAGTTAGCAGTATGGATCAAATATTTCATATCAATAAAAAACTTAAAATATGCATAGTACTTGTGATATAAATTATCCCCTAATTAATTATGTTTTCATAAATAAACAAACTATCTAGAAATATTTGAATGTACCAGGTTGATAACATGCTCTTATCAGTTCAGTAACTTCAAAAGTTTTCTTGAACTAACTATAAACAGCGAATTAATGTAGACAGAGTTTATTCATGAACGGTTTTTTTTAAGGTGATCGCTCATGACAAGTGGTTATAAGAATTCTAAAACAGAACATCAGATTGTTCTAAAGTGTACCAGCAGCTCTAGAAAATAACTCTTAATGTAATTCACTTACAAGAAGAGTATTTCATCAGTGAATAATTTACGTTAAAAAAAAAATCATTTGAGGGATTTTTAAACCAAGATTATGAATACTTTCATGATTTTAATGTCGGGAATCCTTATTGTCAGTGTTAAGTGCTTTTCTATTGAACTACTAAAAATATTATCTATTGACTAGGATCGTCTAACCTAATTCAGATTGTCGTATAAACATATTTAAACAACTCACAAAAATATTACTGCTCCTATTTACAATGGTCGAAATGTGTAGCTCAAAAAGGAGATAAGTGAAGCAAGTTAACATTACGAAATGTTACTTCAGGATCCACTGATTTATATCAGTTTTGATTAGCACAAGATCTAATTACCTGAAATGCTTTGTATATACTTTCTATGCTAATCTAAGATGGATGAGAAATGGTTTATCCTGTTTTAGCACTTTCATCTAGTCTTCAGATGAGCAGAACCACTTACAAACCCACCTTAGGAATGGAAATCATAAAAAGTCAGTCATCATTTATCTATTAAGATTATTATAGTGACAGAAAGACTGATTAAAAATTGAAGAGGTTACCTTTTTATAGTCCAAAATATGCGGAGCTGCTTCCAGGACTTTTTCCACACACATTGGATCAGAAAAAGTGACAAATCCGAAACCCCTATAAACAAGGAAATCAAAATAAAATGAATAGACTAGTGTATGATTATTCATGATTTAATTGAAAAGGTGAACTTTTGAATTAGGAACAGCAAGTCAGATTCATAGTCTGGTTCTCTAGAAATTATTTAATTTCATTCTATGTTACGAAAACACTTTTGGTAGTCTACATTGACACACAGTAAATGAAAGAAAAATCACAGGTTTTTAATTGAGTTCATAAACTGATGCTATGTCATGAATTGTGAAACATTACACAGGCTTTATTGTTCAACTGCCAGCAATAAGCAAGTTTCTAAAACAGTGGCTAATTTCGAATATTTCTCAGTTTGAAACTTATATTTACACTATAGAAAGTCAGTTAGTTAAAATTAGTCAGAAAAAATGTTTCTGTATTGATGCGATTAAAATTCAGCTGTTAGGAAAGTGACTGTACAACTTGAAATACCAGTATATCCTGGCTTTCGAGTCATCAAGTACTCTAGTATGGTCGAGAGTGAGGATAGTTTGCTCCCTCTCTCGAAATTCTCTCATGTGGCCATGATTATACACCCACTTCCAGTAAAGTCCTACTTACACACTTTTCGTAGCGAGAGTATTTTTTTACGAAACTGTGAGAATGACAAGCGAGTGTTTGGCGCTTTAATCAGATTGGTTTCAGATATGATTACTATAAATTCAAACTGATAATTCTTAGTGGTGTATTGATAACTTGACGACTGCAAAAAATATATTGTCAGTAATTTGATAGTAACAAAAAGTTATCAGGATAAGCATAAACATCAAAATAGTCAAGTTACAATCATATTCCACTTTGTATTTTACCTTGATCGTTTTGTGAGCGGGTCACGCATTATCATATATTCCCTTAGCTCACCGTATTTTTGAAAATAGTCCCGTAAACCTTCTGAAAAGTAAAATTATTAAAAAGCTCATGGTCAAATAAAAGAGTATTTCTGTACAAAGATTCTGTCAAAGAATTACGTTGTCAAATTTTACAAGGTATCTAAAGTAATGAATATTTATGTTAATAATCATTTTTAAGAATGTCGATTCACTTAAAGGTCTCTGAGTTGAAAATTTTAGCTGCAGGGCTTTCAATGTTGCTACATTTTAAAATGCACTGCTGCTATCTAACTTCCAGTGGAAATATGTACCAAAGATATCGTTTAGAACTATAGATAAAGTTTCTCAACTAAAATTCTCAGCTATGAAAGCCCAACACCAATTAGTATTTAGAAAAAATCAAAGTAAATGTCACTCCTTGTATGTTTTCTTTCGTTGCATAGTTGAAGTTATTCAGTGCTTCAAAAGGATGCGTCTGTCCATAAACATCATAAAATGTCTAACAAATCGTTGAATAAACAATTTATCATCATTAACAAACACCGAAAACACAAACATAGAGTGTTTTGAACTTTTGACATTTAACAAAATGTTGGCAACCAAAAAAAAATGAAATAAAATGAACGCATTTTTAGGCAGACATTTTTTTGCCTTGTTGTAGTCTTAGTCATTTCTATTTTTTTAACGATGAATAATGGAAAAAAAATTACTGATCATTGGTCCGATTGTTTGAATTCATGCACATTCTAGAATTGGATATATAGAATTTTCAAAGTACTGGGAATATTTTAAAATATTAGCATAGATTGTTTTTTCACATTTTTCTAGATATTTCATGGCAAGCAGTTTTCAGAATCAAAATATACTACATTATTACATATTCATGCATTGTGATATTACTTTTATTCTCTAAGAATAAAGATGATGATTGATGATGAAGTATACTAAAAAAAATTTGTTTCTGATTCGGTATATTACATCGATGATTGTGTTGAAATTCAAATGAGAAGTGATGTTTGCCTGAAAAAAGAATTTACAAAGTATTTTCTACTGGACAAATAAAGTCTATTACCATTGTGTTTACAAAGTTGATATCTTACGTAAAATATGATATGCAACTATATAAAAGTTTAGTTATGTCTAAGGGATGTACACATTGACTTTGATTTGAATCTCTTTAAATTATTTCTATATATAGTAAGTTTTGAAAGGGATTATAAAGGGAGAGATGCAACTGTAGGTAAGTTGAAAATATATTTTCAAAATCAATAGAGTTATGATTATTTTATCAATATGAAGAATATATGAAGGCAGTTTTGGACTCGTTTTCGGAGCTGAAATGTAGATGCGTCAATGTAATCCTACCTAAGAGGATGAATAATCTCCAAAGCGATATTTATCACTCGAGTTGTTACCAGTTCATAGGGAGGAGTGATCTTCTATATTCACGTACGAAGTGATGGATTAAACATTACCGTTAGTTTTAAATTTTGAAGACTAAGTCATTTTTTTCCAAGCAACTAATGACGCCAGTTATGAACAGTGATTTGCTATTTTTTTGATAAGCGAGTTTACTTGATTTTTTAATTAAAAATTATCAGTTTCATCTTTTAATATCATTGATGAAATATTTCAGCGTTGTCTTACTCTTACTCTTTCACAGCCTATGAAAAGATTCACATATATTATTTTAGCTTTACAGAAATATTCATTTGGCCAGACTTATAAATTGGAAAGCATATGAATTTACATAAATGTATATAATTGTTCTGTTTTGTTTTTTTAATTTTCCTGGTATTTTATGAGGTTTAATTACGAAATTACACTAATAAAGATATTGAATATGCACACAAAAGAATATGTGGAGTAGGAGAAAAAAATAATAGGAAGCGCATTGATTGTCGTTCAGATTTCCTTAGCAACGACAAACACCAACAAACAAACAAACAAACACAACAAGAACGACAAAAATTGAAAAAGAAAAAAAAATAAAGACAAAATTTTTGATTAGCAAATCAAGACAAAATAAGGAAACAAATCAGTTAGTTTTACATCTCACATACACATACACACACACACACAAACAAACAAAATACAGACATACACTTCAGAAGAAAAAAAAAACAAATAGCCAACATTTTCGCCGTAACAAGACTCAACTTACCAGATGTTGTCGTAGGACTGAGGCCACCAATAAACATTTTCCTTAAAAATAAGAGGAAATAGGGAAAAAAGAAACGAATTATTATTTTTTTTCTCCTAAATTATAAACGAACTAGCAGCAATTCAATGATTGTTAGAAATATGAAAGAAAAAAAAAACTAGAACAAGCCTACATATACATAGAAATACTACAGTTAAATATGGCATTAATTATCTATCATGAAATAGGCATCGAGGACAGTTTCAATGAAGAAAGGAGACAAACATATATATATACACACACACACACACTCACTGTGTGTGTGCTTGTGTGTATGTGTGTTTAAAATTTGTTTGTTTATTCATATAATAAGATTTCTGTGGCCAGATTTACTTACACATTGAAGAATTTCTACTGCATGAAGAAGCATTCACGTGAATTAATTGCGTATTGGGAAGAGTGAGAAGCGAGAAAATTAGAGCAATGAATCTGTTAATTTTTCTTAATCTTATATATATATATATATATATATATATATATATATATATATATATGTATATATGATTGATGCCTAATAAATAAGAACACTTGTAAATAACTCTTGAAAACAGGAGTCCGCACAAAATAACATCAACAATAACAACAACAACAGTAGTTGCAGCATTAGCAAAATTGTAATTGAAATAAGGATAAAAACAACAATGCGACCTGTTATTTCGGCGAATCCAGAAAATGAATAAAGCCACAAAAGTAAACAACAACTAACAGAGTATCATGTAAACAATATATATATATATATATATATATATATATATATATATATATATATATGTATTCTGATCATCATCAATATATAGCGAGAGAGAGAGAGAGAGAAAGAGCTAGAGAGAGATGACTAATAATACTAAAGGGAATATGTAGTGATAATAGAGTGAGAAGATAATATAATTGAAAAATAAATATTATCCACTGTTTACATGTAATAAATATTCTTTTCGTAATCAGCATGATAATAATTCAATTAGTTGATTAATTGAATAAATAAACAGTTTTACTGTTTAAAATGTATAAAAGTAATATTATATAAATATATCTTATATATAATAGATTTATTTTAGAAAGAAAATAAAACTGTACGATTGATTTGTAAATGATGTCATTGCTTTGCCAAATACATATTCTTACAAAAAGCGAACATAACACATTATTTTGTTTATTACTATAAAGGATTTGGTTGTTTACTTACTGTTCGATTCATAAAATTCGATCAGTTCAGCAAACTGTACTGACGTTACAAAAACTTGTGAAAATATGAACATCAATTAAAACTTAATAGTGATGGAAGTTTCATTTTTAAAATGAGTTAAAATTAGTTAAGACAACTATGTGTACTTATTGAATTATTTACGCCTGTTACCCCAAATGGAGCATCGGTCACTGACCAGCATTCTCCATCCTATTCTGTAGTGGGCCTTGCTTTCTAGTTCTATTCAATCGTTCATCATTCTTCTCATGTCTGTCTCCAACTCTCAGAGCAGTGTCTTCTATGGCAATCCTCTTTTCCGAGGGCTTTGGGGATTTTAAGCGACGGCTTGTCCTGCGACGCATTTAAGTGCTTTCTTCAATGTGTGTCCTATCCATTTCTTCCTGATTTCTTCCTCCACTGGGATCTGGTTCGTTCTGTCCCACAGTTCGTTGTTGCTGATGGTGTCTGGTCAACGAATCCGAAGTGTTTTGCGTAGACATCTGTTGATAAACTTTTGTATCTTCTGGATGATGGCTTTTGTAGTTCTCCAAGTTCCGGCTCCATGCAGTAGAACTGTCTTGACATTTGTATTGAAAATTCTGATTTTGGTGTTGCTTGATAGTTGTTTTGAGCTCCAGTTGGTTTTCATTTGTAAAAATGCAGCCCTTGCTTTGCCAAACCGCCCCTTCACATCTGCATCAGATTCACCGTGCTATCTATGATGCTGCCCAGAGATGTAAAGGTTTTCACATCTTCCAAAGTTTCACCGTCAAGTGTGATTTGATTTGGGTATGTTATGTGGCATCAGAGAATCTTGCTTTATCCTTTGTGTTTGTTGTGACCTGCTGTTACTGCTGAGGCAGCTGCAACACTGAATGTGATATTGAATGTGCAATAGAAAAGACAGATCATCTGCTAAGCCTAGATTGTCCAGCTGTGTCCAACTTGCCCTCTATATCCCATGCATCCTCCAGGTGTTAACGTCTTCAGATACATATATTAAAGACGAATTATTTCAAACGTACTGCGTAGATAATTTGTTCACTTCTTACACAAAATAGTAATTGTCATTATTTGTTACATACTAATGGCGTAAAATAATGAAATAATAGAATCATAAGCTTTTAACCTTCCTTTAGAGACAAGTTATTCAAGCTGTCAAATTGACTTGACTAAGGAATTTTAACTAGGAAAAATATTATAATTTAGTGCATTCATAACTGAAACATGTCAGACAGAATGGATTTGTCAAGAATAATTTTGTTTAAGGCCAATGTTCTTTTGTATAGTGTATTTTGTAGCACGGCCACATCGGCTACAAATGGTCTAAAGTTACAATTAGTTATTATTATTATCATTATTATTATTATTATTTCGACCGAAGTTTTACACACCCCGGTCAGTGAAGTTTAGTTATCGATGTTACTGAGAAAAATATAAGTAATAACATATTTAACATAATTGTTAAGATTGATGAGTACAGTTAATTGTTTGAAGGAAGTGGATGATGTCGTACATGATAATTAAAAAAAGTTTATTTTTTTTTACAAATGCATATTAGTCAAACCATCTAGTAATACAAAAATTACGTCATAAACCAATGTCAGTGGAATGCCGGCCTAAACTTTATCTGTTGTAGAAAGGAAGTGAGTTAAGCCTTTCGTGACCATGATAAAATGGTTATATTGTTTATCGATTACTTAGTCTCCTTATTAACTTTCATATATGTAAACAATTCCACTGAAATTTGTTCATTTAGAAGGATTCCACTAACACGCATTTGTAAAAATCACCTTTTTTAATTATTATGTATGACATAATCCATTTCCTTACCTAAATTCATTTTAAACAATAACTACTCATCAATCTTAAGTTATGCTAAATTATGTTGTTACTTATATTTTTCTCAGTACAATTTATAATTAAACTTCACTGATCGGCGTGTGTAAAACTTCATTCAAAACAATAATAATAATAGTTTGGGGGCAGAGTTTTGGAGGTTTACGTTTTTACACCTTTGGAATCATCAATCAATCATTGTTAGATGACCACTATTAGAAACATGGAAGCGCTGGCAACGACCGTTTCGTCCTGGTATGGAACTCACCAGCAGTACGCATTCACGACTCCTGCTCCCCGCAGGATTCGAACCCGGAACTTTCGGCATTGTAGGCGAACGCCTTACCATCGGACCACTGGGCCGGCATCCAACGGTGTTAATGTCTAACTCTGATTGATCTAGGGATTTTGCGCGACCTCACCCATTTGTCTTTGGTAGTTACTGCCTACACCCAACAGGGTTGAACTCGATTGGTCACGTCTTGTCAACTAGAACTCCGAGAATTTCCTCACGAAGCTAGTCACTAGTGAGCACTGTTACGATATTTTGGGGCAGAGTTTTGGAGGTTTGCGTTTTTACACATTTGAAATCATCATCAATCATTGATGATGATTTCAAATGTGTAATAATAATAGTGACTAATTGTAACTTTATACCACTTGTAGTTGATCTGCAAACTTTGAAATACAGTGTAATCATGTTATTCGAAAAAAAATTTTTTCTTCCAGTTTTGTTTAAACAAATCAAAGAATCAAGATGTATGGGATTAGTGAGTGCATACCTTAGTCAAAGTTGTTTTACTCTCTCTCTCTCTCACTCGCAGTATTTAATTTATGTGGCTTAAAAAAATCATATGAATTACACATTTTAAGCTAAAATTAAAAAAAAATCCAGAATGGAAAAGCACTGATAACAAAAGAATGCATAAATTAATGTACATACTGAACTATAAATTGCTGTATATAATCTTATGTTTATTTCTTCTCAAATATTCAGTATTTTAGTTATGTAACGGTGAAAAAAAATTAAGCAATCACTTCCCACTAAAGATTACAGAAATGACAATTTTAGATAGATACATTTATTATTATTTATAGTCGAATTTCTTAGCCGAAATTCTAATACTTCGTTAAACTTAGCTACGATCATTTTAACTTTATGAAAGAAATTGTTCTGTATACGCTCTAGTATTTAAATTGAATTTCCTCTGAAAAGTCGATTTTATAACAAAGTAATGTTAGCTAGAGAATAGTTTGACAGTGTGAAGTGATCGAGATTTGTTATGTCCTCATCACGTACCTGTTAACAGCGAGGACTAACCATCGTAACACAAATGGAATTCACGGCTTTCTAGTACTATGACCATTAAGATACAATTGCTCTATTTAGCTAGAGTTTAATGGTTTTAATTTCGAATTTTCGCGTTAACTGAGTCAATTTAGAAAAAAACAGTAGAATACAACATAATTATTTCACTAGTACATTTGACGAACTTGAAAAAACATCATCAAAATATCAGTGTTTATAAAACTATTCTACTGTAATTGAAGCAAATGTAAAAATTCACACAAAGTCAAATTTACTGCATATTTAATTGCACGCCTGAACAATTAACTAAACACTTTTTGCATTTTAAAAACTTAATTGGTAAAACTAGAATGTACCGACGGCCTTGAGTGAACCAATCAGGATTAAGATAATTCATCATGAATTTCGTGCGAATTTTAAAGTGTACCGATAAATAACTTGTATGTTATTACTGACGAAGTAAAAAAAGGCAGTATCTCGTCCTGAAAATGGCTGAAATCAGCAAATATTTCTGTAATGAAACAGGAAAGTGAATTTAAAATGGTGTTTTAGACAAACCACAAGATATGACTATATTGCAGTACTTGTTGTTATTCAATACATTGTAAAGTGTGTTTAGCAAAACTCTCAATGTATCTCCTTGTCTAAATCTCAATTATGATTCTGTG